CGGGGGGGCGAGTGGGAGCGAGGAGGTCGGGACCCCGTCCCGGGCACGCCCGCGGCCGAGCTCCCGGAACAGCTTGGAGGCCTCCGCGTCGTTGGCGTCGCTCCGGCTGCAGTCCCCTCTCCCAACTCCGGGAGCGGGGGGGGGGGGGGGGACGGGGACCCTGACGGCCCCGGCCACCCTCCACGCGAGGGTCCCCAGCCTGCCGGGCTCCGCCGCGATGCTTTCCAGCTCGGCGGCGGACCCCACGCTGCTTGGGGTCGAGGATACCTATTACCGCGCGATGACGCAGCAGCTTCGCGGGGAGCTGGAGGACGCCCGAGGGCGGCTCCGCGAGGCCGAGGCCAAGCTCCAGCTCTCCGAGCAGGAGCGGCAAGGGTGGGAGGGGAAGTATCGACACCTGCTGGCGGAGCAGGCCCCGCGCGGGGGCATCCCGCCGGACGCCGCGGATCTCCTCCGGCGGCTTACCCTCAAGGAGGAGGCCATCACCGCGCTCAAGCGGACGGTCGACGAGCAGGCGGCGAAGCTTTCGGCGGCGAAAGACGCCGCCGCCGCGCACACGGCGGGGATGATGCTCGTCAAGCATCAGCTCAAAACCCTCCAGGAGGAGCTCACTCGCAAATCTAATGAGCGACGCGAGGCGGTCGAGAAGCTCGCCGTGGCGGAGGATAAACTCGCACTGCAGATCCAAACTCGCGCGGACCTAGAGAATGAGATGGAGGAGCTCCGTTCCCAGATCACCTTGCTCCAGCTCGCCAGCCAAGGCAAGCGGCAGGACCGCAAGGACGAGGAGGACGCCACTGGCCATTCGCTTTCCCTTTCCTTCGGCTCCAACGGCTCGGTTGATCGCATCATGCAGCTGGAGAACGAACTCGACGATGTGCGAACGCAGCGCAACACCCTCCAACGGCAGCTGCTCGCGCTGCAGCGGCAGGTAGCGACGATGCCCTCCGCGTTGGCGGATCCGACGGCCGCGAACGACACCCTCAAGGCGCATCTTCGTCAGCTCGAAAAGGAGAAGGAGCAGCTGCATAAGCAGCTTTCCGAGGTCCTGGAGCGGGTGGAGATCGTGCAATACCGAAATGACGACAGGGCCGGCGTTGAGGCGGCGGGGGCGACGGAGCGGATGCCGGAATCGACGCCGGCCACCGCCACGCACATGCCGCGCCCGCCGAGTGATCGCTCGCGGCGGGAGCTCGTGCTGCTCTCCTCCCTTCTTTTACAGTACGGCTGTCGAAATCTGCTGCTTCAACAGCATCAGGTGCTTCTGCATGGGAGCCGTGCCCAGGAGGCGCGGGCGCTCGCGGCGCGGCAACGCGCGATGCGTCTGAACCCCGCTCGCGACGGGGAGGCCGAGGATGGCAAAGGGGAAGGCGGGTTTAGCGGATCGCTGCTCACCCGTCAGCGGCTGGAGGTGGAGCAGGGGCTGCTGGAGACGGTGATTCACGGCCGCCGCCCGCTGCCGCCGCCGCCGCCACCCCCGGCCAAGGAGGAATCCGTCGGATCCGAATTCTGGCGTTGGTTAGGTTCGAAGAAGAAAAGCCAAAAGCAGGTTTGTGTGTGATGAGACAGGTCTACAAGGGGGCTCTTGGATTCATAAGGAGGGGGTGGGGTGTGTGTCTCCTTTGGCGGCATCCCCCCTGGTGACTTTTTGAGCGGGTTGGGAAGGTGAAAGGGGCTGAGGGGGATGGGGTTCCCCATTCAGGGACGGTTTCTCCCCGTGGCTTCGATGACGTCGCGCCGATGAGGAAAAAGATCATTCATGATGGCTTCTGCAGACGAGTCGGCCGCATAAGCTGTGAAACTTGGTTGCTGTATTAATTTGATATATATATATATATATATATATATTTGGAATTAATGGTCTTGCTGTTTGTATGATTGCTTTTCTACTCAAAAGTGTTTTTTTCCATCGCACGCATTTCTTATGCTGGAACTTTCATTATGAGCACTTTATTGCTAATGAATAGGGTTGGAACGGGCTTTTTCACATCATCAGGGTATCCATTTGGCTTTCCATTTTGGTTTGTAGATCCTTTCTTCATCTCTTCGGGAATAAATCTAGGTAAGATCAATAGCGCGGGGCCTATATAAACATTTCATTACAACCTATAAGCTCTTTATATAAATAGAGAGAGACATTGAAAATCTCCTCCTCAGCCTGATTCATTTGTTATCACTCAAGAACTAATGAAATGATAGAGTACACTCCTCCACAAAGAGCCTCTAGTGGAGCTGATGGTAACAAAACCTCCACCGCAGGGATCCCAATCATCCAACATTCGCCGTCTTCAGCATCTTTGCCCAGTAAAAGTACCGAACGGGATTCATCCAACGCTAACACTTGCCATCGAGATGAGGAGTCTGGGGCTGTGGAAGCAGAAATCGTAGCTCAATTCAAGGAAACACCGTCCTTTCAGTCTTCTTCTTCTTCTTCTTCTTCTGCTTCTTCTTCTTCTGCTTCGCTGAATACATTTACGACGAGCGAGGAGGCGGAGAGGGAAGGTGGTGGAAGGAGGAGCTCCGACAGTGAGGTGGCATCGCGAAGCTCGATGGACGACAGTTCGAGTGAGGAGGAAACGATGACGGAGGACGAAACCGACGACGACGAAGACGACAGCGAAGCCCTCAAGGAGAATTATCTTTCCTTTTCGGTTCCCTCCCTTGGTTCCGCATGGGAGGGACATCGCCTGATGTGCGCGCACGCCTACCGCTCCTTTCTTTTGATCGGCACCAACCAAGGCGCGGTAGGGGTGCTTGATCCCACGACCATGGCGACGCGGAGCGTTTATATGAACCACAAAGAGCCCATTAGCGATACGAGCTGCAACAGCCAGGAGAGTTTCATCGGCTCCAGCGACAAATCCGGCGTGCTTGCGGTTCAAAACGTCCACAATCGCGCGGATGTCTGGCGGAAGCAGATGAGCTTCCCCATCCAAAGCCTCGCCCTACACCCTTCCTACGCGCAGTTGGAGGATCGGCCGATTATCTGCGCCGGGGAGGATCAGGTGTTTTTGATCACCCGAATCCGTTTTTTATCCAGTCGGCGTTGTGTGCTGCTGCATGAAGGGCAGGGGCGGGTGTTTCGCGTGCGGTGGAGCCCCGCCGGCGGGGAGTTCGTCGCGTGGCTGACGGATCGCGGCATCGCCGTGCTGCACTACGGCAGCCGTAGCCTCCTCCAACGGGTGGCGCGGCCGGAGGGCTGTGCGGGGTTGGAGCTCTACCCCGCCACCCTTCTGTGGGAGACGCCGGAGGGGTTGCTTTGTGGGTGGGGAAGTTGGGTGCAGGAGGTGCACATTCGCGCGGCGGGAGGCCATTCCCCCTCCCGCGCCTCCACGATCCCCACGAAGGAACGATTGACCGCGGGAAAGGCGCTTTTTCAGATCGAATCCCCCGCCGGGGCGTTGCGGCCCGGCGGTTCGAGCGGGGAGAGTCGATTTCGCGTCTGCGGCCTCACGCCGTTTGGTACGGAGCGGTATCTGATCTTGGCGTGTATCGTGCAAGAAGAAGGGGTGATGCGGGATCTGGAGGTGTGCGTCGTGCGGCGGGATACCTTGAAGGATCTCTACCGCGCACGGATTATGGTGGATTACATCCATCCGCTTCAGTTAGGGCTTACCTTTGCGTGTGTTCCGTTCCACCCCAGCGGTGGCGACCTCACCCCGGCGGCGAAACTCGATCGTCGCGGGGTGGACCCCACAGGGGTCGGTTTACTCGCGAACGACCCCCAGACAGCCCCTCCGGGGAATGAAGGAACGTTTTATCCGCCGGAGGGCACCGTCTTCTTTATCGTTTCCGTTGATACCATCATCCGCGGCATCCCATCTGACGAGGACGATCATGTGGAGTTTTTGCTGCGGAAAGGCGATTTCGAGGCGGCGTACCGGTATGCCCTCCGCCATCGCCTCCGACGGCACCTTTTAAAGGATATCTTTCGGCAGTTGCTGGAGTGGTATATGGAGCACGACAAGCTCGACCGCGTGGCCGTCCTCCTGCCCTCTTTCATCGGCGACAATTTGGCCGAGTGGGAGCGGTGGATCTACCGCTTTGATCAGCGCGGGGAGTCGTGGAAGTTGGTGGATGTGGTGCCGAACTACACCTTTGAGGATGCGGAAAACCACCCGCGCTATCGGCCGTCTGCCGAGTATTACCACTCGCTGCAGGATATCCGAATTGCAGATTTGGTGCTGCCGCTTGAAGAGGACGGTGGCGACGTCGATCCGAGCGGGGTGGAGGCGTCTTTCGTTGACCCAAACCCCAATCGCGCTGGCGGCGAGGTGCGGAATGGCGATTCCGAGGTCGTTGCCGTTACCGCGTCGCTTCGCTCGTCGATCGGGAAGGAGTACTACGATTTGATCCTTATCCGATGCCTGGAGCGCGACCCCGTTCTTTTCAACGGCGCCGTGCACCACTTCCAAGGCCTATTCAACATCGATATCGTGCTGAAAGTCACCAAGATTAAATACGATGAGATTTGTGAAAACGCCGTGGAGCAGCTTCCCCATCCCTGCGGCCTGACGCCGTCGTCGCGGTATAGCGAAACCCAGAAGCTCTCCTTGTGCGAGGTCTACGCGTATCTTTTGCAGCAGCAGGGCTGCAACGACGAGGCGTTGCAGGTGCTTCTGTTGGTTTCCAACAGCACTGAGCTGATCCGATTTGTTCGTCAGGCGAAGGTCTTTCACAAGGCGCTGGAGATCCTGCCGGAGCTCTTCACGAGGAGCGCGGAGGGCACCATTGAGCTGCTGTTGGAGCACGCGCGGCAAACGCACGGGTTTTCGTCGCCGTCGCCGTCGTCGTCGTGGCTTCGCGTGGGCTCGCCGGAGGCGCCTTCGACGTTGAACCCCTCCGTGGCGGTTCCCTCGCTAGCCTCGCCGGCGGCCCCCGGCGGCTCCCCGACGCGGATCGCCGATCCCCTCTCGCCGGAATCCGTCGTGAAACGGCTCGAAGGATGCGAGCGGCGGTTTTTATGGCTTTACCTCCACGCGCTGCGGGAATCCCACAAGATCGCCTTCGCCGCGGTCGCCAAGCGCCACGCGCAGCTGATCGCCACCCTTTATATCGAGTTCGACCGCGCGCAGCTCCTTCCATTTCTCCGGGAGATGTGCATGTACGTGGAGCGGATTAAGGATATCTGTGCGTTGTGCAAAAAGTACCACCTCTTGGAGGAGATGGTGTTCCTTATGGCGCGCATCGGGCGGGCCGAGGAGGGGTTGCGCGTGATCGTGAAACAGATGCATCACATCCCCAAGGCGGTGCGTTTCATCGTCGAGCTCCCCTCCACGGAGGATCAGGCGGTGCTGTTTAAACGGCTGTTGGAGTTGGTAGGGGAGCGAAACGCGGAGCTGCCGATGGGCGCCGACGGGCAGCGGTATCTCCTCCACAACCCGCAACCCGGCGAAACCTACGCGGCGATTGCCCGCCAGTACGACGTCGAGGAACGCGCGCTGCGGGAGGCGAATCGCCCGCGCGAGGCTGCCAGCCCCTCCGCGTTTTCGTCCCTTCCCAAGCTGGGGATTTCGCGCGAGGAGGTCGGGGGAAACGAAGGGGAAACGGAGACGGCGGATTCCCTCCCTCCTTCCCCTTGTGTGGTGCCGTTGCAGCTGTTTTCCGCGCTGCTTCGTGTGGCGGCGGATCCGGCGTTGTGTGAGAGCCACCCGGTGATCGACGCGGCGCGGATTATCCGCCGACTCCCCCCGACCGAGCGCATCGCGCACCTGGGGGAGTTCATCGCCGCGATCGTGCGGGCGCGGGCGGAGAATCGCGATTCTCTCGCCACGGTGCTTCAGGTCTTGCGGTCGGAGTTGGTCGCCCACCACGGTGAGCTTCTCGCGCGACGAACGGCGGCGTTGCGCGTCGTTCCGGCGAGCGCGCGATGCGCGTTTTGTCGGCTCGCGACCGCACGCGAGGGCGGGGTGGTTTTTGGCTGCGGGCACTTTTATCATTCGTCCTGCGTGCTTCGTTACCTCGCCGCCGATGATATGGCGACCACGGACCTGGCGAAGGTCGATCCGGAGGACTTCTTCGCCCACCCGATGCGGTACTCGAAGGCGCAGAAAGAGATCCCTTATTGCTGTTTGTGCGTACAGTCGCGTGGTGGTCTTCTAAGGTATTAGTTCATGCGAGGGGGAGGGGAAAAAATCGGGAAAGGGGGGTGAGGGGGTTGGGAAGATCGGGATGTATTTGACTTACGGGCGAACTGTAGGTCATTTATTCGTTTGGCTTGATTGACCTCCCTTTATTGGTCATCGTTAAGAGGTAAATTGGATTTTATACATGGAAATGAGAACCAACATTAAAATGTGACACCTTTTGTGTTTCTTTCGATCAAAGTGATTTCTAAGGACGTTTGAATTGGGAGTTTCACCCCTCTATGGTCTTTTTTTTTACCTTTCATCATCGCTTTTAATATTATCGTACTTTTTTCCCGATGCTTTATTTACATTTCTATTGAGGAGATAAATAAAGGAAACATACCTTCTCACACATATCCCCCCCCCCCCACCTCCCTCCTCAAATAAAGAAGTGGTAGGGGACGAAACGAACATTAAATAATAAAATAATCATATTTGTTGCCCATAACTTCGTTTTCAGGATGCGGCGAAGCGTTATTCGAACTCGAAAGGAGTTTCTCGAGCGCAGACAACATGAGCGCGTGCACGAGGCCATTGCATCCCGGAAGGAGCAGTTTCAAGAGGCGATGCGGACGGGCACGCCGCTGCCAGGCCACCTCCGCAAGGACGCCTTAGCGCTCAAAAAATTCACCGAACTAGACGACGAGGAAACGCGCAAGTTGAAGACGACGATTGACGACGAGTACGCGCTCGCCGGGAGTGAGGATCCGCATGTGCTAGTGAGTACCTCGCGTGGGGCTTCGCAGAAGTTGTTAGAGTTCGCGAAGGAGATTCGTCTGGTGATCCCCAACGCCGTTCGCGTGAATCGTGGTAATCTCAGTGTGCATCAGCTGATGGAGGCGGCCCGGCGTGATAACTTCACCGATGTGGTGGTCCTGCAGGAATCGCATGGCGTGCCGGATAGCATCACGATCTCGCACCTCCCGCTCGGTCCGACGGTAACCTTCACCATTCACAACTTAGTTACGCGGCATGATATCGAGGGGGTGGGGACGATGTCGGAGCAGTATCCCCACCTCATCTTTGAGAACTTCACGACGAAGTTAGGGCTGCGTATTAAAGACGTGCTTCGCTTTCTCTTCCCCGTTCCGAAGCCGGAAGCGACGCGGGTGATGACCTTCGATAACCAAAATGACTTTATCAGTTTTCGCCATCACACCTTCCACGCGGACCCGAAAAATTCGAAGCAGGTGGAGCTCACGGAGGTGGGTCCGAGGTTCGAGTTGACGCCGTATCGTGTTGTTTTGGGGACGCTTGAGATGGATGATGCGGAGACGGAATGGGTTCTTCAGCCCTACATGAACACAGCAAAGAAGCGTCGCTTGCTGTAAAGGTTGAAGAGAAAGAGGAGGGGGAGAAGGGGTCTGAATGGGATCAGGCAGTACGTTTGGTGTTCTTGGTTGTTGAATCTGGATAGCCGGTGCACTTCCCCACCCCCACCCCGTGTTTCCTATGTGTTTACTACTGAACCACAATCGACTAATAGCGTGGAGAAACGTTGCAAAAGAACTCCAATCGCTGAGATAAAATGAATAATAATACAAAGACTCTCTTTCCGCGTGTATTTTATTAATTATCAGTATTATTATTTTTTCCCCATGCTTGAGGAAGGTGCTTCCTTTTGGCATCCGCTGAATATTTCTCTGAATATGTTTTCTCAGTAATAACCATAGCAAAGGATTCCGTATTTTGTTCCAGGTACTTATGGTCCTTATATTCAGAGCATAAAATCCATGTTACCCAGCGAACCTCCCGTTCAGGAGGACTCGCATGATCACTCGTGCGCGTTAGGGTCCGTCATTCCGCCAGACGGCACGTCGCGCGGTGCCGAGACCTCCGATGCGCCCCCTTCCCTCGACCCTAACGCGCCCGACCTCTTGGTCGATCGCCTGGCGACCCTCCGAGCTCGGCGAGAGGGGTTCCCGCGACCGCCTCTCCCTCTCCCTCTCCCTCTCCCTTTTCCTCCCCCTCTTAATCGGCATCGGAATGCTTCCCCGCCGCGAGAGGGGGGCGGGATCGCCTTCCGTCGACTCGTCCAAACCCGAGCCGCGTACGCGCAGGCCGCCAAGGAGGCCATCCTCTGCTTCGGCCTCCTCGCGGAGCGGCGGCGGCTGCTGGGGGAGGGGGAGGGGTCGGGGGGGGGCCTCC